TATAATATATTTTATGTGCGGGAGATATACAAGAAATTTAAAAAAATGTATGCATATACGTATTATTACTTACGACCTTCACATATACAAGCGATAGAAGCGATATCGAAAAGAACACCATATCATTATAATTTTGACGGATTTATTTTATTATTATTTTTCAAAGTATTAAAATACCATATTATATTCACGATATAGGTATACCAATAAAAATGTACTTTTCTCCAAAAAACCACAGCGTTATTATGAACATAGAGGTACGTGACTAAGATAAGTATAATACGAGACCTATCTCATCTGTTTTGCACATTTTATTATAGTAAAAAAAGTGTTATGTCGGTCAACGGTAAATCACCTATACCTACTCCTATGACAAGTACCTCTATATACTTATTTAAAGAGACAACAACAGTATAGTGCGTACGAGAAACGAGAGGAATTAATTACTGTATTAAAGACGCGACAACACAAATCGAATTCTTTCATTTAATATTATGTTTGTATCCAGATAATGATTAATAATAATAATAATAACGATAATAGTACCTAGTATGATATAAATGTATAATATTAAAAAGTTTTATGAGTTATATAAATAGGAATAAATATACCTAATATATTCTTGTTGCATTGATTTTATTTCATTTTCGTTTTGCCTATTCTCTAGTACGTTAATTATGTATCGTTAATTTAGAAAATTTAAAAGTATTCAAAATAATGTAGTATGCCCTAGGGGAAAAATAGAATATTTGATTTCTCGTCGATTATTTTTATATCGATGGCATTATTATGATGCGCTTATAGCATATTATAGTATTACGAAAGTATCGTATTATTATGATTTATGATAATTGCTAACATTACCTATATTTAATAAAGTAAACAATACGTTTGTCGGCGATCGACTATCTTACTATTTTACTCATTCGTTTCTTATTACAATATTAGTAAATAACAATTAGTTGTAAATCATGTGTAATTTATTTTTATAATACATGAGCTTATCACTCGTGTACGGCATACTTATTGCAAATATTTTTCTCGTTTAGTGTCAATTTTCGCACAAGCCTGATTAGTTATCTTAGTATGTAGATAGCTAGATAGGTATAAGTACTCTATCAGATATTTTAGTTTCATCTCGCATAAAATAAAGTACACTATCGTTATATATACCTATATACAGGAATTTTTTTTTTTTGTCTACTGGCCCATTTTCTTGGTCCTCATCCGTATTTTTTATGACTTTAAGTACTCAGTTCAATATTTTTCCACTTTTACATAATTATAGTATAAATTATTCGCCTATTATAATTTGTCGAATATTTTGATTAATCTTTAATGCCTTAGGATTAATTAAAAATAGATTTAAATTATTTAAACTTTCACTTGAAAAATTATAGTAAACTAAATAACCTATAATTTATAAGTATATGCAATGAGAATAATGAGGTATTTACAGTTATACTTTTTAGGTCCATATGTATATCGTAATTTTGCCAGATTTAACATTTAATAATCGAATTCGATCATTAAACTAATAAATTAAAATAATATCTCTAATAATTAAATAAAGTCAAATTAAAAATTAAAAATTGAAAATTAATACTCTTTAATTTTAAATAAGAGAAAAAGAGAAAAGAAATAAAATATAAAATTACGATAATTATGGTAGTTATAAAAAAATACAAAAATAGGTGCTAAATTCGATAAAAACTTAAGAGTTAAAAAAAAACACTTGAATGTTCTGAGATACATGGAAAAATGTCTGTATTAACATATGATACATTTGGACGCACAGATATTAGGTACTGTGGCATCTGTAAAGTAGTCAAATTTTTTAAATTAAGTTTTATTGCATACATTTAACGCTCTTATTACACGCACATGTTATAATACTGTAATATAATATAATACATAGTATAAACGTTTAACTGAAAACAATAATTATTATTAACGATTAGAAGGCTAACATGGATAGGGTTTACCTGTTATTATTAAAAATTACTTATCGATTATCATCGTACACTGTAATATAGATATGTAATAAAATCTGTAAATGAAATATATAGGTAGAAAATTTGTTTGGTTTTGTTCAAAATTAATTAAAATAATAATTAAAAGAAGCAATAATAACCAACATATTTTTTAATTTTAAAAAGACTTAGTCGTTAAAAATAAGTACTAATCTAATTACTACATTATACATATTTTTACAACAAAAAAATGGGTTTTACATTTAATTAGAATGTAAAAAACCACATAGCTAAATTAAAACTTTATGATAAAAAATGTATGATATTACCTATAGTGTTATTAAATTGAATAAATGTGTTTCATCTAACTATTAAAAGTTCAAGCGTTGAGTTGATAATTAATGCGAAATTAATCGATTATCAAACTGATCACTGTCACCAGATTTATTATGCCTACATTAAACCATAAAGAAAATATGGGTACTGTAAGTACATCGAAAAGATAAAATTGTTCAGATTGTTATTAAAAATAATACCTAAATGTACAATTAGAAAAAAACTAAGTCAAGAAGGATATTTTTATAAATTTTAATTGAGGAATTGAGATAATTTTCACAGACAAACAATTCAATTATTCATATGAATATAACCTATGTCGATACTACGCTCTTTATTACTAAAGGCACTAGAAGCTAGAGCACCACTGTAAAATACTCCCGATGTAGTGTTGCATCAATAAATTATTTTGACTTATACATGGAATGTATAAAATACATTAAAAATAAATAAATATTATCAGACTTTAGTTAAAACATAATATTATAAGTAATATAAGTATATATATGTTTAATTTATAATTGAAAATTCTAATAAGGAAAAGTAAGATTTGAAATTTGGAGACAATTTTTATGGTAAACATTAAACATAGCGCCCTACAAAAAAAAAAACAATGCAGTAGACTTATTTATGCATTATTCAACTTCGAAATGGATACTCGCATAAATGTAAATATGTAACACAATTTTATTTTTAAAAGAATTTTTATTATGCACTCCCCTACCGCAGTACCAACCCACTTTGCGGGTATTAACATGCTATATAGGGCCTATACGTGAGGAATTTTTTATAATAAAAGTCACGGTTACATTACATATTTATATTTTATTATATTATAAATAAATAGATTGGCAAGACGGATCCTTGGAATTATTAGATAACGAGGGAAATAAAAAAAAAAATCGTTGTATGTATTGCGTTCAGTTATCATTCTATCGAGTTTGACGGGAAACTCCGTCAAACCCATTCACATAATCCATCAGCTTGTCATTTAGAATTTGACGTGTACGCTTAGTTCTAACCACTGCCGCCGGCCAGGGGCTCGTCGTGCGTTTGTGGGCGCTCGTCAAGTCTGATTAAACCGGTCGGTCGGGTCGTCGCCAATTGACCCAAGACACGCGACTGCTGTGCGTATACATGCCAATCGTTAGAAAAGTCATCATTTACAATACAGTAATAAATAGTTATATATATATAAACTATATGTAATCGTTATACTACAATTTTCATTTTTTTCTGTTTCCCGTCTGCTTATAGAGTTTGCAGACGTACAGTAAATAATATGTTTAGTCTTAATTAAGTCATACCTAAATTATATATATAATAATTACCAAACTATAAATTAGTTACATATTTTATAGATTTAACACGGTGTACATATACGTCAAATACGTAAAATAAAATTATAGAATTAAGTAATTATAAAATAAATATATACTTACAGCAATAATAAAATAAAAATCTTTTTGACGTAATATGAAGTTCCATTGTGTAATTAATAACCTATTCACTAATCACTATTAAAAAAATAAAAACTACTCGTAATTTTGATGTAATTTTGTAATTTGATGGCATAACATTAAAATGAAATAGTGTGTTCAATAAAATTTCACTGAACATATGTATATGTTTATATATAACTTATTATATATTTATTTTTTTTTCATAACTTAATACTATACTTTTTTCTCTTGTAATTTTTAATTATATAAGTACTCGAAATTTTCTACATAAATTATTTTCACTTATTTATGTATCAATCGTACACAATTTTCTTTCTTATTATTATTATTACTTATTTTTTCAATGTATTACTCTCTATCTCAACACAAGCATTAGCTTATAGAGATAGATAATCATGTAATTTATATATCTATATTGTTTTACTTAATAAAAAAAAAAAATTAATTAAACGTTATTAAACGTAGAATGGTATTACTGTATTAATGTTATAATATAATAAATACATTATTATTGCGAAACTGAAATAATGTTATTATTATAGATTGGACAAGCCTAAAAATCATGGTTAGGTTCTCGATTATGATTATAATTTAGATGTTGAGAACATTTCATTGGGTTTATATATAAGTTACCAAGGTTATTTTTTAATTGATACATTTACTTATGTATACTGAGTATAATATTATTTTTAAACTGTTCTGTAAGCACTCAGAACAGAAACATCACTTCGCTCAGAATCTTTATAAAAAAAAAAATCGTTACGTCCAACAAATAAAAGCCAGGGATATAACGCGTATAACATATAAAACTGATTAAACCATAAAAAAGTTTTTATTATACACATACTTTGAGTTACCCCCAAAAACTCGAATTACCGACAGAATCCTTTTGGCGGCGCCAGTGATAGTGGTGGTGATGGCGCCAATGCTCGTCATGTCTGGTGCGTTAGACATTATATTATACGATGTTTATTTGGGAAACGCTTATAATGTGTGATTAAATATTATAAAATTCTATGTATAGATATTATATAATATACTTATCTCACTTAAAATAAAAACATTGTTATATAGTTGCAACCGAGTTATAATTAAATTATGTTAAATTTACGAAAGTAATTCACACTAATTAAAGTAATTCAACAACATAATAATTAATAATACAAGTATCTCTGCCCTTTGCACTGTTGTAAAATATTTTAATATAAGTGTAATAAACGTATTTCAGAACACGCAGAGGCTGACATCGAAGAACCTTCGACTTGTGAATCACCAGAACCGATGTCTTGTTACTTACACCACGATCCTGACCATCCTATGTCTTCCTTTTCCGTTATCAACAAGATGCGAGTCAACATCCAGGTAAAAAAACTTAATACAAAAATATACGATATTCGTGTTTAATTATATTATATTATATTAAGTTTTTTTCCAATATAATTTACAGCTTTGTGACGTTTCCCTTCGAGTCGGCAATAGCGTAACAAAAGCTCACAGATTGGTGTTAGCCTCCTCCAGTCCTTATTTTTACGCAATGTTCAACGGTAAGTGAAACAAGTTTTTCTTTTTTCAATTAAAAATTTTTTTTTTTTTAATAGACGACATGGCTGAAAAATTACAATCTGAAGTCGAACTACACGACGTAGACTTGGGTGCTCTACAACTTCTAATTGAATATTCATATACTGGCCAAGTACACATAACAGACGAAAATGTTCAGGTTTGTATAAACGTACCTAATGAGTAATTACAGCTATTACTAATTACGAATAACCTAATTATTCGTAATACAAATTTTCTTACTCTTAGCGTAATACTGTACCAACTAACGTTCAAGTTCTAATACCAAATTCAAAATAAAGTAAATCTTGGAATTTATAAAATAAATTTATGTACATATTACTTCAATGTTTATGCTTATTACAATAACTGTATTTTCAATGGCATAACTAAAATTTTAGAGGCTCCCGTGGCATAAAATCTTAGAATTCGTTATTACATATCAATAAATTTCTTTAATTTTTTTGGAGGGACTGTTATTAATTATATTTATATATAAACCACTAATTCTGAAATAAAACATAATTTTTACGTGAAATCGCCCAAAATATTTCACTTAATTAATATTATGTAGATACAATTTTAGTTATAATAATTTTTAAATTTCTAAATATTTGAATACTGATCTATTTTCGGCGTATTACAATGAATAACTAACTATACTATGAATCAAACTATTTTTTATGTCGTATTTTAATTTTCGTACCTAACTAATATTTTTATTGATTTTTAATTTACGACAAATTGTCCCAACGTTCTAACAGTTACGTCTATTTTTTCAAGATCGAAAAAATATTATACCATGTAAATAGTTAATAGAATTCTAATAATTGTTATATATTGTTTAAAAGCACTTCCAGATATTAAAAGTGAAAGAAAAAAAGCGAAATTTAATTATACGATAGTTTTAGAAATTATGTTTTATAGATATATTTTATGATTGGAATTGGCTTGGTAGACAGAAGTTATTACACTTAGTGCTTAATACTTAATTTGTAAAATCGAAGTTGAAAATTAAATAAACATTCTATATACCGTCATGGCGTAACTATACTTATTGCATATCATCCAACGAGTTAATAATAATACCTATAATATAGGTAGGTATTTTTTATTAGATTATCGGCATAGGCGGAAATATAAATTTTTATTAGACTGGATCACTTTTTCTAATAAATTCATACACATGTTTATACATTTTGGGGAGAAAAGGGTGAACAATACTTGATATCATTTTGTTTTTTTTAAACTCATTTGTAAATTTATATATACTTTTGGTATATTTGTATGTTCAGAATTTCAAATATTTCTGATAATAATTTCAGCTAAATTGTAACTAATTAATGATATTATTATTTTACTAAGAAATAAATCATAACATTAATTTTAAACATTCTTACTTATTTTCGAAAATATTTTTTTATATAACATGTAATATTATTATGTCTCTTTAATGTATTATATACAGTGTATACTGTATACTATGTACATTAATACGTGGCGCGGATTCGCGTGGACCTAACCTAACCGAGTAGGCCCAGGCTTTAGTTCCACTTATGGTTTTGAAAATACATTTTTCTATTTTCAATATTCCGTATAAAATTTTATTTACTCTGCACTCAAATCATTTACAGTCACAACTTGCTACTATATTATAGTGTGTATTCTTCTATGTACTTGAAAAACAGTGCGTTGAATGTTGGCTCCGGCGAACAGAATTACGGTATTAAACCGAATGTAAATATGACTTATCGTAACTTTATTTCATCTAAATAAATTAGAAAAAGAGAATTAAATGTTCATCTAAGATAAAAATATATAGACCTACCTGTCTAGATAAACTAAATAAGAATATTCTTAAATAATTTCTCATTATAATTTTATCATTTTTAGTGTATCATCAAATAAAACACTTATTAAAATATTTCTCAAGATAAATTTATAACAACGGTTTTTTTTATTTTTTTTACTTAACCATAAATAATAAAATAATATTTAAAAATATTTAAGTATCCTAGTAAATTACTATTAGCCATTGATACAAATTGTTATAACTCAACATGCATGTTATTATTAGGAAATAGGAATGGACTATAGAAGATAATAATTTTCTTGTAAATTTATATATTAACTAAATATTAAAATTGTATCGCATAAAATATAACGCATATGCACATTACACAGTACACACGATAAAGCATAAATGAATTGTGTCTCTATGTACTTTGTTTGTACATATTTTTTTAGGTAATATAATTTATTAAAATTAGGAACAATTATATTTTGAGTAAGTGTTTCTATGAAGCAATATAATTATTACACAAGATGATCTACAGTTTTTGCTTTACCCATCCTGTCTTTTTACGATAATACTGCTATTATGAAACATGTATTTTTAGAATAGCAGGTACACATATTTTTAGTTTTTAATTATTTATGGCAATTATTAATACGAGTATATATATGTACTTAAAATTATATTTTAATTAAATAATTTTATGTTTTAAATACATGTGAAATAAATGTTCATGAATTACTAATTAATTAAACGGTAATTAATTACCGTTAAATTCGCAGATTTTTAAATTTAAATACGCGTGAACAAGAACACGTGATCGCGTAAATCAAAATTCACGTTGAAATCCAGAAGCTCTAATCTATTCGACATGTCCATATTATCACTATGTCTACATTCATTATTTTAAAAAGTTTAAGATTTTTGAAAATATTTATTCACTAAATTTGATGTCCAAAACGACATTTTCAAAAAATATTATATTCATAGAATTTCAAATAGGTAAAAAAGTATAACTAGATATTTTGATTTTAAAAGAGTGAAGTTTTTAGAGAAACAATATTTTGCGGGATACCCTTAAACCATATTACTCTTCTTAAGAACACTTTAAATACTTTCTAATGACTAATTAACTTGTCGTTTAAAACTCAATTTTTAAGTATCAAAGTACTCCAAAATATACTTTGCTTCTGAGTATTAAAAATGTATGTTACTATCCAAAACAAGATCAACTACAGAATATTTTTTTTTCAATAGTATTGTTTTTTATTAATTTTATTACTTATCAAATTTATGTTCAACATTTTTATAAGTTCAAACTTTTCAAAAAATGAGTGTACACACTTATACATTAATAACATATATTGATTGTAATTGTATACTAATAAAAAATTCAAGTATAAATATAATATAATATTATTAACATAATCCTTGCGTTTTACAAAAATAATGAAATGGCCACTATTATGACTCAACCATTATAATAATATGGCCCTTTCTGAAGGCCCATTAATACAACATAATATATAAAATCTGACACAAATAAATTCAGCTGCATTTTCCTGTTTTCCAGTAACATAATATTTTTAATTGCTTTCAGGCAATAATAGAATTACGATCACCAACAAACTTCTAATTAGAAATGACACACGTAAGACATATAACTTTATAGAACTCTAGTACGTACGTACGTACTTACATAGGAAATACAGATTCGCATCTCAAAAATAAGATTAAAGGGCATTCGTGAAGGCACATACGAAATATTATATACTTGAAACGATCCTCGGGGGATAAACAAAAAGAACGAGAAAAGAAAGAAAACCGAAAGTTAATACATATATACACGCACACGCCAACTATAATCCTATCATCATCAATCTCGAGAAACGACGACGCAAGTTTTCTCTTTCTCCCAAAACAATTCTACATTTCTATCTTTATTCTCGTTCCCTCATTTTTATTAATGGTTCACATCGGCCTATTTATAATTTATATTTATTTTTAGATAGCAGGTACACCGGTAAAAACCAAAACTCTTTAATCTGATTTATCGTATTTTGTGGTTTACGTTAGTTTAACTTTGCGATTTTAATTGCATTTTACATTAATCGAATCGATAAAAATAGGTATCCATTTAGAGTCTTATTTTTACGAAATGGACTGTAAAAATCCCATCGGGATCCAAAATTTTAAATTAGACGAAATTAGTCGTTGACCTTATTCGGTCTATTACACACGCCGCAGCTCAGTTCATCGGCCGTGGCATTTGATTATGAACTTTTGTTTGCCCTTAACATACAATCCGTTTTTCTCGCCAACGGCGGCAGGATCAGAACTAGGTCAAACGTTACGTGCTTAAGGACTGACGTTTAACGTCATATTATTATGTATTAATATATACCTAGCTAGTAGTGATGTCACGGTATAGCGGTGGTGTCATTGTACGTCCAAGGACACTGGCCGCCGTCGCCGCGAGCTGTCATATCGACAATAACTTTTTCACTATTCGCGGGATTGATATATTTAGATCAATATACGGAAATGTTATAATACACGATGCCGTTATTTTTTCTACAGGTACTTTTACCCGCGTCTTCATTGCTCCAGATAAACTCTGTTCGAGACGCATGCTGTACGTTCCTGATGAAACAGTTACACCCGACTAATTGTTTGGGTATCAGACAATTTGCCGGTAAGTGTCCTCACACGTTGATTGTAATGTAATTAAGTACCAATTATAAACCGCAATATAATTAATTATACAAAACGTATAAACAAATATGAATTAAACAATATTGAAAACATGAAAAATTCGAATATAATAAAAAATAAAAAAATTACTAATATATAGCTAGTAATAGACTACTATAATAGTATAGGTAAGCCCGGCATGTCGCGTGTAATAAATGTTTATTTATTCACGACAATAATTAATATCGATTTCGGACGCATGATAGACAGTTGATTTTATAAGTTTATAAAACGTACCTATACTGTTTGTAGGTACGCCCGTACAAGTAATAATAATATAATAAATTATTATGTAAAATGTCGAACGTGACCCACCAATGGAGTGTCGTGCATTCGTCTCGTGATATAGAGCTGTGGAACAGACTACACTCGCTGACGTTTCCTTATAAATATTTGAGGGTTTCCGATACTTTTCTTAAAAAATTCTTCCACGCAAGAAAACTATTAACGAGATACAAATAATAACATCACTATTACTTATCCTATCGTCGACGTAGTGAACTTCAATTTTCTAGATACGATTGGCTCTAAGCCATCTGGAAGCCAAATTGATTAACAAGTAATGATCCAAAAAGTAAATTATCTCTATAAAACGACCGCAGTGTATATTTTCAGATGTGTATAAGCTATAAAACCAAAATTAAAATGTTTTCGATAATATACAGTATGTCTTTAGATATTAAATAATATATTATAATGTTGGCAAACGAAGATCTATAGTATGGTATATTTGAAAAAAATATAAATAAAACTCGTATTTTTTCATCAAGAATAATAAAAAATTCAGAAAAATTTAAACTATACTTACGTTTTTCGCTTGTTTTATAGAGACGCATTCGTGCAACGAACTGAGGACCCGGTCACATCGCTATGCATTGCAAAATTTCGAAGAAGTGGTGAAAACTGAAGAATTTCTTTTTTTATCGTTCTCCGAGGTAATCAATCTGCTACTACTGTAGAACATTTTATTTACATATATCAAATATATTAATATAAACATGCTATAGAATTGCTGCGACGAGTCTCAAAGGTCGTCAATGTTTAGCGGTGGGCTGGCAGTCTGTCACCCCAGACAGACTAAGGTTGAAACTTGTATTGAGTGGGTAAAACCTCGCAGACATGGGTGAAGAGGTGTATATATAGCGTCATAGACTGTCGGCAGCGGGTCCTTGACAGCGCATAGTTAGACTAATGAGAATTTTCACCCCGTACGAACGCTAAATTGCTACTACCTTTCCACAAAATGTTATCATTATTATTATTACTATTATTTATATTATACCAACTTCGCGTGAAATTATTTTTTAATTAGGAAAAGCAATAAGGTTTTAATACAATCAAGATATGCTTTTTACTATTATAATAATATCACGATTAAGCATTAGTTTATTTTTCAAATTTTAGTCCGTAGGTGTATTATTTTATTACAGCTACACTGGCTACATTCAGTATGCCATAAAGCTAAATGCTAATTAAATTTTTCTACAACACAGGCTTATATTTTTAATATAATCAATTTTACGTTTTTTTGTGTATTTTATATCGTTTGTCTGACAAATTTAGAACAAAATTATAGCGTTTTATTCATCAAGACTCTCTCCACGTCTGTTTAATAAAATATACGACGTACGAAGTACCTATGTGACTTTTTCCCCGCGGCAGACGTCTTATTAATATAATGCACATAGAACGAAACAATATTATATATATACCAAGTAGAAAATGGGACATGGAGATAAAATACAGGATAAAGTTCTACCGCAAAGGCGATTGAATAAAATATTACACGAACTTATATTATATTAGTTGACAGTAAACCAGCTGCCTCCGGGGACGCGTATAATAGTTTATGAACATTATACCAGCTGTATAATGTTTATTGCAATAGCTAATATGCGATATATATAAAAACGTTACACGTGATAGGAAAATTGATTAAAAACCACGCATGAGGAGAAAGACTGTGGTAAAATAAATTGGATCATAGTAAAAGGTTAACTGAAGTATGACGATAGGTTTGTATAATTCTACCGCCTGGATGGATACAATAATGTAGTGTCACCCGCTTAAAAATAAAATGTAAACAATTTAGACTTATCAAAGATAAAAAAAAAAAAATGCAGTTTAAAATAAACCACTTGTGTAACTTTCAGGTCGAAGATTTAGTATCTAACGACAAACTGAACGTTGTGTCCGAAGAGCAAGTTTTCGTGGCTGTCATAGATTGGATCAAACACAATCCCTCCGAACGATCGCAATACATCGCCCAGGTACAATAAAAAACTTAAACGACTTCAAAATACAACTCTTATAATGTACAGTGATTGCCAAGTATGCGTACTCCAATTTTTTTCATTTAATTATGAATTTATTCTAATTATCTAAGGTTTTTTTGGAATTTTTTTGTAAACTTAATGACTTTATTTTCAATTACTTAGAAAGTGAGTTAGATACTATTTTAATAATATCCTATGTCGATATCTATTTTTTTTTTCAAATGAAAATCATCCTTTTTTTGGTGAATTATTTAAAAGATTCATACAATATACTATATCTTATTAACTACCATTTCGAATTTTGATTTAAATACATCAATTATATTATTCAAAATACCATCTGTTTGACAATTTACCGAGTAATTCTTATAATTTTAATGCACTTCTTATTTGAAAGAAATTGAAATCACTATAGGACATTAAAATAATATAAAAAATTTAAGTATTTAAAAATATTACCATTTAGTATTTTCCGCAGTGCTTGATTTGGGGGGGGGGGGGGGGGGGGGGAGACGGAGTCCCCCTTCTTTCTTAATTTTTTTTTAGCGTACCCCTTCTATTTGCCCCCACGGTAATGTGACGGTTAATGTTGTGTGGAACGCTCGTTTATCAAACATCCGATGAGTCCCCCTTCTATTTTTTTTCCAAATCAAGCACTGATTTTCCGAGACAACATTATTTGAATAAATATTTTGTTAAATGATAATATGAAGCTGAGTATACTAGCTCAATGAATCACCTGTATAATATATACGCTTTTTATGTTTTATTTATACTAACAAATTTCGTCTTGACTACCGTGTGCTATACTTCTAAAAAATTTTCAAAATTATTTATTTATTTATACCTAGGGAATCTCCCATACATGCATTCTTACAAAAACCCAATACAAAATTCTCATCCCGAGTTCATAAGACTTTGATGAGTGCATATTATGTGATACTCGATCCATGAGTGGCATAATCAGTGAAATTAGTAGCCTACTATTAGACACATTGATATAAGTTTCTGATTGTATCTATCAATTATTATATCATATAGCCATGTAGGTGTTAGTAACACTATGTTACAGACAAAACAAATATTATATTATCTAGGTAACTAGATACATGTTTGATTTATCACTTGCATTTATACATTATACGACAAGAAATAAATAATAATCATTATATTTATATCGGTATATAGTTATACAATTTCTGCCAAATGGATCACGATAACGAAGTGAATATATATAATATATTATATGAACGCGATTGCGCGGACAATAATTATTCATTATCTGGTTCGAATTACAAGACGATGCATTTATTATAAATTTATAACATTTTTTTTATATCCACGGGCGACCACGGAGATATTACGACGGGACGTACCTATTACCTATACGCACAGTAATAACTAATAAGCAATATATTATATACCGTGGCGTACGGGTTACAGATTCTTGTTAATATTCATATGTCACGGTTGCCTTTTCAGATTTAAGATGCATACTTATTTTAAAAATCATGTTTATTGCTATGAAACCGAGTAAGACGTTTGAATCGTTTGATACGATATGTAGCATTCAAAAAACTTCAGTGGTACACACTGCACAGTGCATATGCATTATGATAATATTGTATAAACGAAAAAAAACATAAAACAATATGTTGCCCTATACCAACTTTGGCTTAATTCTCTACCCATATAATTGCTCTCGCTTTTGTAAGACTGAGTGATACTGAAAAAATTATCAATAAAATATTGTGTAAACATATACCTAGGTACTATTGTAAGCTGTAAAAATTGTTAAAGGGTGGAAATTATGTTTTAACATGCATGATGTGTTCAAATTTACCATCCCCCGAGAAAAGTCTATAAATAGCTTAAGTGACATTACCACGTCATTGCAGATAAATGACATAAGTCATTTATCTGTAGTAATCGTATGCACTACGCAATACGATGCCAATGGTGTCCTGAAACAAAGAGACAAATGATTATTTATTACGTATAATTGAGCTTTAGTGATCTAGTCACTCGCTAGCTATCGATGTCTATGTATATAAATTAGGGGAATTTCTACAAGTAATAAAAAGTATATAACGCCTAGAACGCCTTTCGTATTTCAGCTTTTGGGACACGTGCGACTAGCCCAAATGTCAAAGATGTTCCTATTGAACGTAGTCGAAACGGAACCGTTGGTGCGCAGTGAGCCTAGTTGCAAGGACTTGTTGTTGGGCGCCATGAAATATCATTTGTTGCCGGACCAGAGATCTGATTTCGCTAGTAAACAGACCGAACAGCGGAGCCCGGACGGACTGATGCCGTACATATTCGCCATTGGTGAGTGTTTGACGAATAAATATTCGTAATATTTAACATGTCTAATTACTATTGTTCAACGCATCCGACTACAATTCTATAACCGTATAATATGATATTTTATGGTTGAATTTCAAAAGGAGGTGGAAGCTTGTTCACTATACACAGCGCTGGTGAGTGCTATAACCCTAGACACGACCGTTGGCTACCGATCGCGCCCATGTCCAAGTGCCGAAGTCGCGCGGGTATCGTGTCACTGGGCAAATTGATCTACGCTATTGGAGGGTAACTCTTCAATTATTGTATTATTATTATATCGGCTAAGTGTACTAAATGTTTGTATACATGCAGCCATACAGGCACTGATATACTAAAAAACTATACTTTGGTAAAAAATGTGCAGCCAAGTTTTTTATGTATGAATGTCCGAGTTATTTTGGATGGATTTAATGTTAATATACTATGTTTATGTTTTCCCCAAAAAAAATCATTTTTACTATATGATAAAATAAATATAGTATTTACGTTATGTTACATATTATTTAAAATGTATATAGCTATGTATCATAATTACATTTTAAAGGAGATTTACTGATTTAGAGAACGATTATAAAATCAATTCCACACATCAATAATATACTAATATTATTATTTATTTCTATTGTTTATATTACATTACATACTCGTATACGTTATACAATAATACAATATTATACGTAAAATATGTTATTAATGTTTATTTTAATAAACATACCTAATATATTTAATTTATATGTGATGTGTTATAAATAATAATGTTAAAAATAAGAATTTATTTAAAATAATGCTGTGTCAAGCTATTAGATTAGGTTAATACATTGTTTTTTACAATTATATGATTACAATATCATAATACCAACATTTCACTTTTCATTTTTCGAAATTTTTCCTACATAGGTAATACTACTTATATATTATAAAGGACGTTGAATAGTACTTTTTTTTTTGTACCATCTCAATATTTGACTTGGCCGTTTCTGCAGCCAGGTTCGTACAACCACGCAGGAAATCTATGTCGATTAATTTCCGCCTTCCGTACTGTAATATCCCAGTTCTATTCAAAATCATAAATCGAACGATTAAATATGCCATTTATACATACATCAAACAATTACCTTTTATACCATTTAACCCTTTGATATTATATTGTTCACCGTATATAATATATTATTATTTTATATTATATTTTAGATACGATGGCATAGTGGACCTTTCTTCGGCCGAGTGCTACGACCCAAACTGCAACAAGTGGTCGGCGGTCACGTCATTAGGCACGAAGAGGAGTTGTTTAGGAATTAGCGCTAATCACGGGTTGCTGTACGTTTGCGGCGGTTTTGATGGTGCATCCTGTCTGAGCAGTGTGGAACGATACGACCCACTGACCGGCGTTTGGTCGTCATGTCCTAGCATGACCACTCGTCGGCGGTACTGCCGCGTATCCGTCGTCGGTAAGACCAATAAGTTAAGGCCTTAAGAGCTTTAAGACACGTGTATTGTGTATATATAATATATATTATGTGTTTATTTAATAAGATCCGATACCAGTAGTGTGAAGTCATAGCTTACTCGACAGTCGTAAAATCTTAACACGATAAACCGAGATAGTGTAGAATTATATTGTCTATATTATTAGTACGCATCGTGTGACATGACCATGACGTGCGAGAAGCACTAACTAATGTAATTTATACTGCCCGTGTAACAATGGATTGTCATCTTCAAAAAAAAAAGTGTTATAATGAAATATTATTAAATTCAGTAGGTACGTTAGGGTTAGACACACGACTGCAACTTGTACATCTTTCACTAAAATATGATGTTTTTGAAATAAGTACATACGATTGGTACCTAAGTAATAAATAAATAGGCACATATTATACTTTATGTAATTTAGCCATCTTTAATTTATAACTGCTAAAATTCCTTAGTGAATATACGACACTATACCGGACATTTGATTTTGTCAACTACCTATCTCAAAGTTTCCCATATCAACTTTTTCATTTTGTTGAGCCAATCAAAGCATCTCGTCAATATACCTATTTGTTTTGTGGTTACCCTCTAGACAACTGTCTGTACGCTTTGGGAGGCTTTGACTCCACCAACTATCAGTCAACAGTGGAGAGGTACGATCCGAGAATGAGCAAGTGGATGACCGTGCCGGCCATGAGCAGCAGACGTAGCAGCTGCGCTGTAGCCACGTTGGACGATATGCTCTATTGCGTAGGTGGCAACGACGGGACAATGTGCATGTCAAGCGGCGAACGATTGAACGTCAGGCGAAATGCTTGGGAGCCCATAGCTACTATGCAGTGTCGCAGGTAACAGTTGCTATGCATTTTAAATGAGATCTAGGCAGTTGGTTTAATTTATTACTAACTTCATTACAATAAGAGATATACTAATTGATTATCTATATATGCGTACTTCGTTACGTTCGTAGTTCCTACCTCTACCTACTTAATTTCGTATCTACCTATTCTTAAACTCGCAGTCAAATCATGACTTTATCTGTTATTTTGACATTATCAGTACAAAAATAAATATTTAACGTAATAAATATACGTAGGAGCCTAGGGGTAAATATATTAAATACGTTAAACTACAACTGCATATAATATAATAATGTACTGATAAAATGTACGTATTCCAAACTACACGCAATTAGTACAGTAGGTAATAACTAGTACATATTATATTGTACACTTTCAAAAGCTAACCGTCATCTTATTTGTTCGTATATCACGAAAACCAAATTAAATACGAAATAGATAATTATATTTTAATACCTATTATCTTCCAAAAAAAGTCGATACTTATTTCAAAGAATCTACTCGAGTACCTATACTTAGATAAAACGTCGACTTTCTTTAATGATTAAATAGCGTTTGGTGTCGATCGTTTATTAAGGAGTAAGATTTAGGCAACTAAGCTTACATATTGTATCTGTGGCGTTTGAGACGCACCAAGTTACTTACCAAAGATGCATGAAAAATTATGTGACTTATTATGTCGAGGATCACAACTAATACGTACTTTTCTTTCGGTCGCCCACCGAATCGCTCGCAATTTTTGACGAGTGACGGACTAACATTACGCTATCACGAGTAAATCATATTCCACTCTCCTATCACAACAACAACAACAACAAGTATATTAAACTATATCGCTTATTGCAGAGCCACCCACGACATGGTCGAACTGGACGGCGGGCTGCTGGTGCTCGGCGGCAACGACAGCAATTCGAGCCTGCACTCGACCGAGCGGTACGATCCCCGAATCAACAGGTGGACAATGTCGACGCCGATGCCGACGCGCCGGAGCTCGGTGGGCGCCGCTCTCCTGTACTGCTTCAACATGGACGGCAAGCTGACGACGGCCGCCACCGTCGGGACCGCGGCCTCCCTGAGCGGAAGCGTTTCGATGATGACCGCCAGTTCCGGCACGGCGTCCGTCACCAGTTCGCCGTACAAGTCCACGGCCACGTCCGTATGATTGCCGTGGTCGACCACCAGCGGTTGGCGGTCGAACAACGACAACGATTCCGAACGTTCTCACTCGTTGCCAAACTAACTAGCCGACGCGTACCTACGCGGGGGGAGGGGAGGGGGGGAACACCAAAAACGACGGCTCTCCTCCGTCCGTCGTCTGACAGCAGTTTACACGGCGAAAACGTTGCATGTTTCCCAAACGAATTATATCCCCACGGCGCAGTCGTACGATAGATATCAATTCTTATTATTAACTCGCGAACGACGACCACTTAGTCGGTGTACCCATTCGCCAGAGACGTATTTACGATTTTGGTGACCTAGGTGCAAAAATATATTGGCGTCTTTTTTTCCCCTAAAAAAAAATTGTCGGAGAGGGGGCTGATCAATTTTTACACATCGGCGGTTTACCAAAAAAAAAAAAGATCAGATAAAAAAAGTTTAGCTCAATATCTTATTTTTTCTTGATAATATTTTTTCATCGCAGCGCCCCCTTTACAATTTGGCGCCCGGGGGAAATTGCCTCTCTTCACCCCCGCCAATCGTATTTTCTTAGTTCCACTTATTCTCTCTCTCTCTTTCTATAAATATATATATATATATATTATATTTGCTAGCTGTCGATGTTTTCAACGATCGTGTTTGACATTCTATTGGTCTATCAATCGGTATGACTGGATCAAAAGCCACACAGTTTATCGCTCGTTCGCTTTTAAACAATTATCAACTTATTAGACATGATACTAAAAATGCATTAATATAACCTATTTACGTTAAAAAAATCTATTTTGGACGGACAGTCAAATAACCGTTCCGTTGCGGGGGGGGGGGGCAAAATGCTCATCCAATGTAAATTACGCATACGATTTTTTTTAACGCCGTACCTATTATAAATACCTACTTAATGTTGATTTTTATTGGTTCCTAATTAATTTACCATTTATTATTATTATTATTATTATTATTATTTAAGCACATTTTTATACTATACATATACCAGCAGATTTAACGTGTGTCCTTTTATAAATATTATTATTTATACATATATAAATACTTAGCTTGTCGATACGTTTTTTTTAGCATTTATGTTAAATACGTTTGTACTAATTATTAAACTTTATACTGTGATGGATAATAATTATTAATTTGTATATTTTTCACCTGTACTATTACACTTCTGATTTGAGCTATATATACATATTTTTCTCAATAGAATAAATCTTGTGATAAGTGTTTTAAAAATATTTATTTTTTTTTTTTTGGTTGATTTCATATTGTGTCAAATACCTGTTGTTTTCAGTTGCAATTCAAACATGGTAAATGTAATGTCAAGTATGTGGATGAAACCTAAATAATAACATTCAGGGAGTTTAAACTATTAAGTTGCCATTAAATAATGAATACTTTTATAGTTTAAATTAATACAATAAAATGTATTACTACACAAATCTTTAACATTTAATAAAAATTATAGTTATAGTTTTTGGTCATTTTAATAAAATAATTTGAGCAATATAGACTAATTTTGAATAATACATCTAGGATCTAGAACATTAAGTCCATATACTATATAAATTATTAATATATCTTAAAATAAAAATACAATAAATTCCTTGTTTATCTTTATACAGAAATATATTAAAACTTAAAAGTACAAAATAGAATAGTGATAATAAAATTCATCTTTATTATAGTTTATTCGGTTTAATTAAGTCGGTTACAGTTTTGTTTGCAATACTACCAACAGTTTCATTGGACTGAACTTTAATTTTTGTCTCATAATTTGATACTATGTTATATGATCCGCCTAAAATAATCACAAAAAAAGTCACCCAAGAAATGTCTTCAACATTCTATTTTTATTAGTTTTAAATTTATACACTTCTGACAAAGTATATATATATTATACATAAAAAAAATCAATTTAACAAAACCATATTATATCTGAATTTTAGATGAAACTATACAAAGTTGTGTATGGAATATTAAAGCAGTTCACATAATAATTTCTTACTACAGGAGATATAAATGCACCCAGTCTACTTCTTACTTTTCAATTTGTCACTTTGTTCATCAAATGAGGGATCACTTATGTTCAACATGAGGCCATTTCCACTGAGGAAAACTTTGTTTTGAGAAGTGGCAATCTAAACATTAAGTAAATTATTAATTAAATATATTCTTAGAATAATTAGTCTAATTATACCGTTCTGGAAATATTTTGTGCTGCCCTGATCTTACGAAGTTTTAAATAACCAGGATTTCTACCAACAGCTTCTCCTAAGTAGATATTTCAGTTAAGGCAAAATCATATAATACACTAGTAGTTCTCAACCGGGGTGACATGGACCTAGCTTAGGGGTGACGCAGAATTTTAACAAGAAAAGAAAAAAATTTAAAAATTAATTTTTTCGAAAACAATCATATTATTTCCTATATTATACATCTATACCACCACCGTCATGTACATAACATACCTCAAAGATTGTATCTTTATAATAGTTTGTATTATTTATATTTAATCTTTTGATCCGATAAACACGTGTACCTAGTAATTTGTTGTGCGATAATGCTGCGATACACAGCTAAGATTGTTTATTATTGTGATGTTAGGATGACGCAGTGTTTGATTCTAGTGGTTAAAGGTGACATGAATCAAAAAAGGTTGAGAACTACTGTCATACACATTATGGTACTATAAATATGTAATAATAAAAGGATATCATTTTTGCAGCTTCAGCTTCTCCCTCAGCTTGTAAAATCTTTTGTTGACGTTCTTGCTTGGCTCTTTCAACAAAGAACACAGCACGTTGCGCTTCTTGATGTGCTACTTGTTTTGCCTCAACAGCTGCAGTATACTCTTTACCAAAACTTAATTCAGTAATAGAAACATCATCTAAAATTATATTGAAATCACGAGCCCGATCAACAAGTTGTTTCCTAATTAGCAGAGAAACCTAGAGAGAAACAAATTATAAGTTAATATTAATTAACTATTTTATACTATAAGCCAAAATACAAAATTAAATTTAAAAAAAATTGTTCAAAATTAATTAATGAACAATAATATTTACTATAGGCAGATTACTATTTTTCTAAAATTTATCTTATAAAGTCAGACTAAAAAATATGATTTTTTAAGTTAATAATTATAAGTATAAAATAAAGTGATTCTGAAATAATACATGGTATACTTATTGTTTTTATAAACAAATAATATGTAAGATGTAAATAAAAACTAGTTAAAGATTTGAATAATAAATACATTTAATTTCTTTCGTTGCACAAAATGTAATTTATACATAATTTTTGTAGAAAGATTATAGGGAATTTTGTTTAATATAAACCATATTAAAACGTGTATAATTACATCACTATATATGCATTATAAGTTTAAATTTTTATTTATTACATAAAAAAAAATACAAAAAATTACATTTTATTTTAAATCATCTATGATAGTGTTTATATCATAGTGCAATAATGCAGAAGTTGCATGGTTAGGTAAATTTTTCATTGGCAGTTATTTAAAGGTAAGTTATTTTTTGTGCAATCAAACAAAATTGATTTATAAATAAATGTAACCAGTTTTATGATAAATACTTATCTATATTAACACTATTTGTTCTACCTACACTGTTTGAGTTATATTACTAATATATACTATATGGTTCTATAAGAAGTTCCTGAAATTATATTGATTATTTGTTTTCTAACCTCTTACACTATCATATATTTTAATAACATGTTTATACTATTTAAAATGTATAGCAATTATATTATATAAACAGATTTGATAAATTTCTGAGTTCAACCCAGCAAATTGTGTAAAATGTATAATAATAATTACAACTGATTTCGTCAATAAATACAAAAAATATATTCAAAAAAGCTCTTTCCCAGTGAATGTATCTCCCTTAGAAAATGTTGTACATGCCATAAAAATGTTTAATATGCAATATAAATTCCTCTTTCCCAATTTTATGTAGTCACCTCAAAGGTATAAAAATATTTGGTAGAAGAAGTGAAAGTGCTAAAAATGATTCTTGACACCAAGTGCTAATTATGCTAAGCATGGTAATTATTGGCATTGACTGATTTTAATCAATTATCTTGTTAGACAAGGTATTTCTTAGAATAAAATCAACATAAAATAAAAATAATTTGTAATTTATTTAATACCTGCTGTCTTTGTGTAATTAGTTGTGATGCATTGTACTTGGCAACCACTGATTTTAAAACTTCATTGCAAATTGAAGGCAGAACTTTTTCATCATAATCAATACCTAGATGTTGGTACATATCTGGTAGTTTAATGGCATCTGGTCGGGATAATACACGAAGTGAAATGTTAACCTAATGAATAAAAAAACCCTAATATAAAAATAATATCAACAATAGATTATAATTATAACTTTACCATTTGTAAATCTTTAGAGCCTGTGGGTGAAGATATTTTTCTTGGTCTTGATCTAATATCAAAGATGACTGGATATTGGAACCACGGAAGACGAAAATGCAATCCCTCAGGATAGACTTCTCTTTGTATACCACCAATACGATTGAACATAATGGCACGATGACCACCTTCAACTATAAAAATAATATAAGTAAAAATGAATTATTATATCTAAAACAAATAGGTGTACATATAAAAAAATCTAGAATAAAAACCAACTTAATCTATAAAAATCAATTACATTAATTTTATAGTAAATGAGACATATATTTATATAGTCATTAATTTTATATCAAATTTTTTTTTTTTTTTTTTAGAATCCAAAAGTTAGAATAAATTAAAAATATTAGATACAGGTAATAAATTACTTAATATTTTATTAAATAATATTATGATAAAATAATGAAGCATCCAAAGTATACTTCACCTACACAAGACACTGAAACCAAACATTATGTTTTTGGCTATTTTTTGTTTTAAAAAATGTTAATAATTTATATATTTTACGAAATAAAAACCATCTTAAATAGTAGCTATTGTGCAATTTAGATATCAAATAATTTTTAGTGTTATTTATGAATGGTAAAGTGGTTTTTAAAAAATGATATATTATATAAAAATATGTGTAATTAGCACAAATTAATAAATAATAATAATAAATTAAAACATTATCATATCATATTGTCCAAGTTATTATCTAAAACATTAAATACCTACAAACGACCAAATGTATTTTAAATTTAAATAAATTTAAACCTCAACATGACCAAAACTCTTGACGCCTATTTTATACTCAACTCCGAACCAAATAAGAAAATATTAAATTTTAAAAATAAACTTATATAATTGAACAGTAATATAAATGTGACATAATGTAAATATTTAAAATAATTGTGAATAGTAATTAAGACCTTGTTACTAATGACCCATACTCCCGAGTTCAATTTTTCTTTTTTTATAGTGACATATAGAAACAAAAATGACTAACATATTTAATAAGTTAACTACTTCAATTCTTAAGAAGAGGGAATAAAGTTAAACAAAAAATTGAATTATGACAGCAATCAAATATATATGAAAAAATAGCTTAAAATAAAGTAAAAATAATGTGCATTACTTGAAATTATAAACAATATAGGTATATTTATTAAAAGTATTATAGTTATAAGATTAATGAATATATGATTATATATGATTTTTTTACATGCATCTGAAATATATACTTAAATATAAACTTCTAATAGTCAGAAGTCAATATGTATGGTCATAATTGCTGAATGATTAACAGACATCACATATATAAAAAGCATATTACATAAACAACCGAAATGATGTAAATCATAAACTTAATGTTAATCTTTAACAAAATAAATTCTGCCAAATGTTACCTGTAAACATGGAATTGGCGAAACCGTAGCCAACGAGTCCAACACCAGCTACAAGTTTCATGCCTAAACTTAGGCCTTTAGCCGCTCCCATTTTGTTGACAAAGTCGTTTACTTTGTTGTCCATACTTAGAGCTTTGTATAATTTATTACTTAACTAGTAAAATTTAATTTTAAATAACTGTTAGAAACCGAAAAATCTTTAAACAATTAGTCCGTTCCTGTGGT